ATAAACAACTTGGATTGTTGATTGCTCTGAATCACTCCACTTTTTGCTCTTTCTTTCACTAGAAAGACAACTTGCATCAAATTGTGCGCTTAAAATTGATTATGGATGTATTTTTTACCGAAATGTATTTGGAAAGTAGAAACTTTCCAAAACTGCACAATCGAAACAAAAAAAAATTGACTCTATAAAAAAGTCATAATTAACAACAAATAGAGTTTACAAGCAATTTGTATTTTTTTTTATTTGATTAAACTCTTGTATTTTAACTATGGTTTGATTTTAGTTTCAAAAGTATCTTTAGTAAACTTTTTTCTTGAAGAGTTTGCAAAATAATCACATTGATAACAAGAATTCATTTATCGTTATTTATTTAATCAATAAATTGATTGATTAACTTAACAATTATTGAACCACTATTTTTATGACTAAATAACAGTTTTTTTGCGAAGTTTGTTGTGAACTCAATATGTAAAATGTGTTGTTTACAGATCTATTGATTACCTTGTGACTAGATTAAATGTTGTACAAATCAATCAAATTGTAGCACAGTTGGCTACATGTGAATTCTATTGTGGTGCATAAGAATTTTTTTTATGAAATTCTTAACCACTCACTTAATTCGATTTGTACACTTAGTATCTATCAACCAAAGATTAATGTTTTTAAAACCTCCAGTAGCTTTCACGAATTCACATCAATGATTGAGTTTAGCGTCATATTTATATCGTCACTTTCACGAATTCACATCAATGATTGAGTTTAGCGTCATATTTATATCGTCATCATTATATTATCGTTAGATGAAGAAACCTACTATTCTAAATTCTTGATCAACCAATAAACATTTTTAATTCTATTCTTTAGATGATAAAGTATCTTGAGTCATCATTGATAATTTACTATTTCAAAGTTTACTTTCTTGAAATACAATACATGAATATGCACATTTTTGTAAAAAAAATCATTTTCACCTCACTAACATATATGTTTAGACAATTCAATTTTCAACATAGTTTTAATATAATTATCCATGTGTTTCAACTAATTATCCTCACCCTGAACTAATGTGCATTACTTCTCCCAATTTCTGTGCTTATTCTCCATAGATTATATCACAGAGCTCTAGTAATCATAGGGATAGCTCTGAGCAATCTCAGAGCTCTGTTCACTAGGGTGAGGGATGATGAACCCACACTCAAGGATAACTAGCCCCTTCCTTTATATATAACTTTCATTATGTAAAACATATGGAAACAAACTCATATGAACAAACGGACACCTAAATAAGATTGTTCACTTGAGTAAGGTTACAGATCTTTCAGTGAATCACAAGATCTTCACTCAAAGAACCTGAACTATAGAAAAAGAAACTAAGAAAAGAAGACAAAGAACTAACTTGAGAACTAAGACTCCGTTATGTCAACTCCAATATAATTTATTTTCATTTGACTAATAAGACTGTAATGGAGTAGATATTGTCATCTTCGTGCATTACCAAGTAAAATGTCCGTTAATCTCCACTTTCGTGAGTTCTGTAAAGTTGCTGTTTATCTGAAAAACAATTATCCGGTCCCAAGAAATGTCAACACAGGAGACCCGAGGTGTGCACCGTTGTAGAAACGTGACTGACAATAATGATAGCATTTCATTCAGAAAAAAAAATACTCGAAAATGCAGTATAAAAGTAGTCGATCACACATCGAACATGATAATGTCTACAGACACCCCGCTTCAATTGCACCCGGTTGTCTGAAGACAAGTCTTCAGGCATGCTTCGGTTGTTTATGTGAACGACGCTTTTATTCCTAAAACTACTTATATGAAGATATCAGATTTTGGATAAGGTTCGGTGATACATGGGCATTCTGTCCATAGCATGGGCATATTGTCATGTGGTACGGTCAGCATACACACAAGACAGAACATTGGGCATTGCAAGAAAACGTCTCTCTCACCCTTAATAGATATGGTAACGACAGTTCTGAAGATCACAACCTGAATTGCCACAATTATTACTAGCGTGTCCATTGTGATCGAGGTTGTCCTCTGTACACCACCAAAATCAGTAACTTCAGCTGTAAGAGAGATTGTGTTAACCTCATCTGACTTTCATACAGAGGACCATTGCTGGCTTGGCTTCTTCTATTAAATGCAGAGACAAGACCTTGGGGTGTAGTAAGGGTCTTCCTGCAGTACTAAAGTTCTCCTGAAGAAGCACTCCAGCCTCGTCGTCAGTGAGTTTTCAAAGTGATGACACTTTGACATCTATGTGCATTTCCTCTTAGTGACATTGCTTACCTGAATATACATACATCGTGCCTTCTCTACGTCCAGTTCATTTCAACAGAAACAGTGCCTCTACACAAATAATCATTTGTCATATCGATAAGTTTAGATGGAGGATTGCAGAGAATTCGCAGGACAATTTGGTGTGACATTTGACAGCCAGATCTGAAAGTTGCCAACTAAAACTTCAAAGGACTGATGCAGTGGACAGCTAAATAATGTATTTTTTTTCCAGCCAGTCTACTAAACATAATCCCAAATGAAAAAAAGGGGAAAATTGAGTACCTTAAGAGCGACTCGTATAAACCGTGCGCAGTAAATCCATGCGGAATGAATGATCAACACGGAAATCGGTTGTTTATATACCAATAGACCAAACCTGTAACGCTGTCTAACATTAACAGTTCCTAAATCATCTGAAAAAGTCTGATTGTTAGAATCTGAGTTGTATATAGGCCAATAGGCCAATCCTGTAGAAGTATTTTATTAGCACTTCCTAAATAAACTGAAACGTCTGATTCTACGTGAGCTAGCTTATTCAGCTGACCTACCCAGTGCTAGTTTATCACTAAGTGAATCGTCTGTCCACCACATGCTATGTGGAAAAAACAGCTCAGAGAAGAACATGCCAATCCGCTGAAAAGAACGCAACGGAATAAGGTACTGGCGCAAACTTCACCGTCGTTTGTTCACCAACAAGCGTCCCCTGGTTTCCGCAGCAAACCGGAGCAACCTCCTCAATTAAAGCAGACCGGGGAATTCATCAACATGTAAGAATGAGTTTCAGTTCCTACTCAACAAGACAAACAAACCAACTCGATGTTGTGTAGCTTGAGGAACCGAAACAAACGGGCAACTTCGGAATCAATGAGAGTATTGAAATGTATTGAAGGATAAAGAACATACGACCGAATGAGATAGAGAATTGCTAGGTGATACGTAACGTAATATGAGAGACAATCTGTCAAGAACTTATGGTGGTGGTTTGTATGTAGGCAATTACTTGCAAAAATCGTGGCGGCAGGCATTAGTTTATGGCGCAAGCACCACAAAGTCGGAGGTTAAGTATGAATTGTTTAATGCACATTGCTAGAAATGGAAAGACATACATACATACGACGATGGATTATTTCCAACGCGTCCAAAATCTTCTAAACGCTGTAAAGTAGTACTACAACCGTCTAAGTTGACCTAGACGGTTGTAGTTAAGCAACAAGAAAACTTAGTCAGCGAGAGCACAAATTCCTCACTCGCGCAAGTTCCTCGGCGTCTCTCGCGACAACATATCCTTCAATAATTTCAGGCCGTGATTTTCTGTCACCACCGGAATGCAAACGTAGACCATTGAGATCTTCTGTAGCTCTTCAAATCATGAAACCTTTGAAAAACAATCAATAAAGACTCTCATCAGGTTGAAAATAAATACCCCTGGCTAGTAACGCGAGATCTAGATAACATGAAGCACTTCACTTGATTCATTCGTTCAGGAATGATTCAAGGTTCAAAACCTGGAGTTCCATCAGATTGTATAAAATTCATACAGATAAAAAGGTCAGGACGTATGAGTAGTATGGATCCACATGCGGATCAACATATCGACGTATGTGCATGTGGAACCCAACCAAATAACAATTGTTGCATCTTGATGATAAGTTTGAGCACCTTCAAAGTTGTAGTCAAGTTAACATGATATATTCGGACACCAATCAGAACTTACTGTGATGCAGAGAGAAAATTAGGCAAGGGTGATTTCGTTTCACAAAAACTTTTGATCGACGTCCAAATGTTGACCTGACTGCTATAGACAAGGCGCAAGGCACGTGTTTCACACCGATCGTGATTTATAAAGCATTTTGTAAGTTGAACCTACGACTGTTCTTACGGTCTCACGATCAGTGGTGGTAACAGCTAGCACACTTTAGTGTACACCGTACTCTATGTGAGCTGATATATAATTTGCAACGCCTACGGATTACCACAACCGCAATCAACGAGCATAAAGAACGAAAAATCAAATCGCAGCAATATACGATACAAGTCTCAGGCAACAGCTTATTACGAAGGCACAGACACGAAAAGCTCGACAAGTACAGAAGGAAACATCATGCTGTCGAACAAGCTGAGTAACAGCCAGTGCGCTTACTGACGAGTTACTGTTTCACTCAACATAAATTGTGCACTGCTCAGCCACTCTATGGTTCCTTCCTATTCCCAAATTTCATTATCCTAGCAAGGGTGAGCCGAAAAAGGCATTGTTTCCAATGCTAAGCCAGGGAAAACACCTCAAAGCATTAGTGAAGAAAACGAATGTGAGATCCTCACTTCATGCAGCCAAAAACCCTGGCCGTGTATCCTATCTCTGCTCCAGTGTAAGCACCATTCAGCAGGTAAAAATGGCAGATAGTAGATAACAATAGTTCCCTCCCGAGCCAAAATAGGCGAATGATTACCATTCTTACGTTCGGCCAAACGGAAATAGCCAATTACCATGGCAGAAACTCAATTTCAAGAAGAAAATATCGAGGTAACGGAGGTGCCTCGAGGTCGAAAAGGACCAAAGGAATGGTCTAACAGATACACCCAGAGCAATCTACAGAGACCCCAAAGGGTTTGAGAGCGAATGGCCTTACCCGACAAGAAAATACTTTCAGAATTAAATTGACAAGCAACGTATCAGCGAAATTACATGCTTTTCTAGGAGACAACAGCGAAATCAGACGATCAAATCTCTTTGATTTATCCGTTATATTGCCTCGTAATTTGTATCTCCTGTTCGATTTGAAGAACAATCTGACGTGGCAAGCTACATGGAACAAAACATCTGCTAGAGGGCCCCTTAATCTTTAGCACACAGATCCATCAGACTGCAAGGATGAGCAGGACAGAGGAACATGGCCCAATAGACAAGAGTGGTCACTTCTTTACGGGTAGGTGACATTAAAAACACCGTACAGATGGATGTCTAGCTCGGCACCAATTCCATCCCCTCATAATGAGGACCGTAAACCAATGCATTGATTCTCCAAAGCAATCCCGTGAGTCTCTAATCAGGAGCTACTGGGCTCAACATGTTGCTCATCAAGAAGAGCTTCCTTGTCGTTTACTTTGCTTGTAAGAAGTACAAGATTCAGGAGACCACAACGGAGATTCCTCTCCGGATCCTCCATGCAAGTCGAGCGAGGCCGTTAACACAACACCATCAACCTGCAGCACTAACTGCTGTTCCACCATTAGCTGCAGACGGAAGGAGTTCCCTACTGTGCTGCTGCTCCATATCCATCTGCTGATTGCTCATTCTTGTCTCATTCTGCGAACATGAAACAAATGGAAACATCATGTTGAGGCACCTCCAACCACCACAACCAACTACGAACATGTGAACATCGAAGAGCTTAGAAGAAGCTATCTAAAGTGCAGCTACGTGGGCCTAACAATCGCAGTCAAGCAAAATCCTACTTCTTACGAAAGGCTGAACACGGGAGGAATAGGTTTGGGCACATCAGGTCACCACAATTAGCTACGCACATGTGAACATCAAAGGGCTTCGAAGACACCTTTGAAAGTGCGGTTACATGAGCCCAACAATCGCAGTCATCGGATTCGTTTTATACTACTTAGACTAAGACTAAACAGCTATCCTAGAACAGAACATCAGCCGTCAAATTTCCAGAAGCGAACATGAATGAGCAAGAAGTGTCATAGAGATGGTAGCAAAAGCGAGACCTGCAGAGACAACAAGGCTAGTACGTAGACCCAAGGTCTCGATCGAAAGGAGGCGTCTTGGGCTGTGCAGGGTCCGATGGGCAGGATATGGCTTGACGACAAAAAACGATACCCAGCAGGTCTATAGTCTCAGACCAAAACGAAAGTACTCCAGAAGTCGTGACTGATAAACACTACACTACACGGCACGTACAAGAAACATACCCAAAGAAATCTACAATTGCTAGCACAATACAACAATCAAGCGAGTCATGCAGGTAGACAAACGAGAAATAAATCCACAAGGCAGCAACATGCTGCAACTAGAAAGAGGGGAGACTCATTGTTCCCGCAAAGAACCTGCCTCAGTTGAATAAAGCATATCAAGTTTGCGCACACGCACTAAGAATCCTTAAGCTTAACCGTAAAGATTCTGTGCAAAATTTGAGAGGGATTTTCTTCTCTTTATAGCAAACCATTCTACTTGAACTACAAATGCGGTGATGTTCCCTTGCATGCAAGACGGACCCGCGCGCCTTCATATTAGGCTCCAGGCGCGTGCAGGAGAGTGAGTGCACTTTCAAGTCACGACAGTCAGATTCCCGACTTTGAGGACGGGGTTAGCATATGGACGTAGTGGTTAGTCGATAGTAGGCAGTCCACGTCGAAGTAGGAGAATCTGTTCATTCCTGTGCGCCTGCCTGTGAAGACCATAGAGCACGCACGCTGACTGAACGCTGCTAATATGACGGGTATCTTGTCCTCTCTAGGGACAAGATAGACACTAGGATTACTACAGTGAGAAGCTTCTCGCTTCAAGTGGATATTGAATCTATAAACTACACTAGTTCAATAGTTAAATAAGAAACCTTTACGAACTGATCCACCTGAAGGTTATAGAGTTCAACTGCCTGACTCCAGAGTACGGCTGCTTTGGGCTTTCTATGACGGCACCTATGAAAAGAAGCGGGCGCCAAGGAAAACAAACAAAGGCAGAAGCATCCTTAAAAATCTTTAGTCCAAGGGGCCGAAGGCCAGAAATGGCTTAAGGATTTCCGCACACTTCTTTGCCTTAACAAAAGAAAGACTTTACAGTTCTCGAACATAATGGTTTTTCACATTGGTGACTATGTTCCCAAAAATCAGATTCTCTTTTTCAAATCAAGAAACGAGCACTACCAAAGTGGCTATACATACCAATCTCTTTACGGATCTATATGCTTTGATTGGAACTGGAAGTTTTGGAACAGGCTGGTATACGATAGTATTTAAACTCCCTCTTCTTTTCTGTATTTGGATAGGGATAACGGAGGTTTGCGTACTGCAATCTGTAAACAATTTGGGCAAGCAAACCAATGTTCCCTAGAGTTTGCGCTCTCACGTTGAATGACGGCCGCATTTCATCGATTATAGATAGGACGTCAGTCCTCCTTCCCACACAGTGCGCAGGTCGGCAGGCCAAAAAGGAAAATAGAGAGATCAGACTGTGCTTTGTCTCCTCCAGTTCTGTAAGCGTGATTGCCTCTATTGCTAATGTTTCTTAGACCCCTACTACCATCTGTCAGAATTCTACTTGCTAAGATTATAATTCTACCCTCACCTGACTCCATCTAGATTCGCCAGGTTCCTTGCTTCTCCAAGTCCATCTATTCATTCACTCTATCAAATACATATATCTGCAGCTGTGGCTGTTATTTTCAACTCGGAACTAAGGCGCTGAACAGAAAAATTAGTGATATGGAAGCAGTAGTTAGCAGATACAATCCAATGTATTTCGGAGACAAGGAAAAGACAGATATCACTTTCTGATGTCTCAAATAGATATCGGTGATAAGATTCCTAAGACGTTTCTATTTGGATATAATGAGACGGATAACTCTTGGTACCTGTACTATTAAAGTCTGCCTAGATGAATGAAGCACACAATTAGCGAAAAAGCAAGTAGGTTCAATCAAGACCTAACATACTATAAACTACACACACTGGAGCTCTACATGAATTCCTAGAAACTTGGGATGAAGTCAACACTACTGAAAAGTAGCAATTTTATTATATTGGTTTAGATTTACGTGCCTCTCATTGGGCACCATGAGTTTCCGAACTAGTCACCTTTGACGTGGAATTGGGATGGTTTTCATTGAATGCTAATTAGCTATGCCAATTCCGCTCATTGCGATTAGCAGAATCACAGACAAATAACAAGAAACAGTGACACTGATCAATACAGTTTCTGAAGGGTAGGTGACAACTAGCTAAGAGTTGCAAGCAGTAAATGGGGCACACAATTCGGTAATCAGGTTTGGCGTCAGACGGAACTTTTAAGTACACTTCACTCTCATGCCATATTTTTCGCATACTATTTATAGCATGAGCGTAAAAGAGAGAGAGTACGGCCATTTTGAAAGGTAGTGGAAAAGGCTGGATAGAATTCCGTACGAACGTAGACTGAAGCGGCTGTAACATAATATTATGTAAGTTCTCGTAACTAGAAAACATTCCCAGTAAAGCGCTATGACGAGTATTTAGATCTCGGTTTGTGAGACCACTGGTTTCTAATTGTCCACATCCAACGGCTCCACTCAAACCACAAATTTCGTGCTACCCGCTTGCAAAAACGCCACAGCAGAGCTTGGGGATTGTGAGAGAGTTTCTTCGAAAAAATTACTGTTTGACATGGGGAGTTCAACTGCTTAGAGGTAAGGTTAGTAGTATGGACGTCATGGTTGATACATACTAACCAGCGTACATTGGGGCAAACTGAAGACCGTAAGCGTCTAGAGAAGATATCGAACTGTTTGTTTTCAAAATAAGAAAATACGATACGATATCTTTCCGAGTCACTCCACCAGATATCGAGAGACGTAGCTCTAAGGATGTTCCATTTGGAACCATGGAGATGGAAGACTCCTTGTACCTGTAACAAGTCAGATTGGTTGACGCAAAACGCAGAAGATGAGGAGAAGCGTAATAGATTAGGAGATCACAGAAGTATGCATAGAATGAATTTCAAGTAAAGCAATGAATGGCACAAGGTATGATGTACAGAACGATCCGATGAGAACTATGAATGTACGCACGGAAGAAAATGTTACTGAATATTATTACTGACATTCAGGCTCACTGCAACAGCACAAGAGATGTACTTTCATAGACAATTAAGTGGAAGTTACTAAGGCACGACCAAGCCAAGCGGAATGATCTCCGCCGTTGGGTTGCGTTATGGACGGACACAACGAGACGATTGGCTTATCGTGAAACATTGGTGAGAGGGTTTTTCATGATACTGTCTAGACCCTAGAAGAACATATGACGAACTTGGCTTGCAGTCTGTAAGCATCTTGAAACTACTTCCCACTTGCCGTGTATCAGCAAAGCCTGGCCTTGTACCATCCTCAAGTTCTCTGCATTTCATAACTCGTTGTCGCACTCGGGTATTTTCTAGAAGTCGTACTTACTAAACATCCAGTTCTCTTTCTGATACTAATACGAGTTCCAATCCCGGGGAGTGGACTGATATATGTTGACAAGAATGTTCTGAGAAGCATATTGATAGCTAATTTGCATATTATCACACGTATGATCCACCTCACTTTCACAAGGTTTTCCCCAGCTTTCCTCATCTCTTTTGCTCGACAACTTCCCACCTAATTTTTCTTTTTATACTCATCTACTGAATGCTTCACATTAAATCTCCGATAGATTCCAGCTTTAAAGATTTGTAACAACCTTCGGCTGTTCTGTTGCCGAATCCTCAGTCTCAATCTTTCAATGATAACAACCAGGCTTTTAAAACTGAGCTCGATGAGCGCAAGCAACAGTATCCTATTCGCTTGAAGCAGCTTAACTAATCAACCGGAGATCGGTTCCGAAAAAAGACAACACGCAATGAGTTTCTGCGAGGCAGCAAAGAACCAGACACAGATCGAACAAATACATACCCCACTTTGAGGCACATGCTCCAGGCTATGCTGCAATGCTTCAATCTGCTGCTGCTGTCGCATAATAATCTGCAATATTAACCCACACCGAAGTAAAGGGCATTGTTACTACCGCGCCATGCTTGCAAACGAGCCTGAAACAGGTGCGATTATTCCGCACCATCGGTCTATTGTTACGACTTGGGACATTGTAAACTTGGCAACATTGCAGCCACGAAAAGGTTCCATATACTACGAGTGAACAGAGGAGCCTAAATTTCTTCCGCAAGCAATCAGGTCAGCTTCCAAATACTTAAAATACTACATGATCAGCCGCTAGGGCTAAGCATGTAAGAGACCAAAGCAAGGCAAATATATATGTTACATCTCAAAGGTGCCGACGAATAGACTAGAAAGCATGAAAGAAGAGGACAGTAGTGAAAGTGGGACGTTTCATGTGTGGACTTGAGGTGTAAGAGAAGGAAAGACAAACCGTTTATCAGTACAAAGTGGCAAGTGGAATACATGGAGAAGGCCCACTGTCATATTGACAGAGGTGGTAACTAAGTGTGAAGTATAGAGAATCCAGTGCGAAGGAAGAAAAGTCCTCCAGTAACCCTCAACAATAATTTGAAGGAAAGAATCACATTCCCGTCACTTAGACTAGGGTCCTTCATCAATGGATGCCGAGGTGCATAGTTCTCTGCACTGAGCCGCGCGGGGTCTGAGGAGAACTCGAAGCCCAACTACAGAGGTGGAAACGATGGTTGTTGCCCAGACCTATGACAAATACTGGCTACCACGAACCTGCTAGAGGGGAGAGCAGCAAGCACGGAAAACTGAATGCCAGAAAACTAAGATAACTGTCATTCTGAGGCTAAACCATCGTGGAAGGAGAAGATAACTTCAGTGAAATCAAGTATGAGTGAAGATCAGGAAAACAATGAATGGAACATACGGAAACCCACATATGTAAACCATCGTGAGAAAGGAAAAGAAAAGTACAGGCCGAACTAAGAAAAAACAGCTTACTTGAATTTCCAACACAAGGACATACGTTGAAGGCATGACAGAATATATTACACACTACAAGCACTTACTTGTTGCTGATGAAGCATGTGTGGTTGTTGGGGGGCTCCCGGGAGCGGAGGATTCTTTGACAGATCTCTAAGTACACCCTGCGTGAAGGGACCAGATGTACAAAGATTTACTTTTACTTGCACAGTCTAATTCTCAGCCAATTGTTATTCCATGACCTGACCAGAACCCTTCAAATACAGGATTTCTCATTGGTGTGTGATTTTCTTCCACGAACTTGCGATCTGAAACAAACGGCTCTGAAACAAACGGCTCTCATACATACAAGAGGTATTTATACTTCTCGAAAGGGCACTTCAAACTAACCTTGTTGGCCCACATCAGTCCACATGCATTGCACAGAGTTCGGGGACCAGAAGGACCTCTCCGCATCATTGGGGTGGATCGCTCTCCAATGCCACAATGAACACAACTGCCAAACCTGAAAATAGTTAGGGACCATTTCTGCTTGAAAATCCGATGCTTAATTCCATGAAAAGGATCAGAATATGAAACGTAAAATCTTCCACAAGTCATGTTAGTAATCACAATCACCATAACAAGTGATCAACCGCCGAGCTTACAAAACGAGCATCAAGATCTTATTATACTTTGAGTACGTAAGGTACCGATCAAAAAGATACAAGGACATGCAAGCAGACAGAAAAGCACAGACCTGGGAGGCATATAGCCATAGGACTATCAAAGACATAGCCCGCTGCATGAGAACAATCAGGGATTAAACAGGCCCGAAACAAGGCCAAGAATACATGCGATGGCCTTTAAATTGAAGACGTCGACAGATTCTACGCCGAGGCATTCATGTACAGGTGGCGGGAACGATTACTAAATATGGGCCTTGGGGGCTGCGACTAACATTAGAAGGTGTTTTGATACATTTGAGCGGCATTGTGAGCTGCGTTGATCAAACTAGATGCCAAATGAATTTAATGACGTGCATGACTCTTCACGAAGCGAATCGAACACAATCAAAGTCGAAGACAAGCAGCAAGCCGAAATCTTGCGTGGATAAAGCTTGAGAAGCCCATCTGACGAGCAGCGGCAGTGAAAGATCGTGCAGGACGGACATCGGTCATCAATTCTACGGTGAGCTCAACAGAAGGTAAGGAAGAGTAAGATGGAAAAGTACCCAGAGGATACAGATGAAGAACGTGCTAGTATAGATCCTACTGATCAGAATAGGAATCCACGGACTGTAATTAAGAAATAAATGAGTTTCCAGGATCTCATCAGCCCCCTGCTTTATCTCTTGCTCGAAATCCACTGTACGTTGGCATGAGTGTTAGCCAAGTAAGACCCAGCCAAGTTCGGTTTCGATCCCGCAATAGTCCCATCGGTCCGTTGTAGCACACGACTTAGTTAGAATGAGGTTAGTCCCTTTGTATGGCTGAAATAGAAGCAGAGCAACCCAGACACCAAATACAAAGAGCTCGATAACATGATGGAAGCATAAAAAGAGCGCGAGCCGATACTAAACTAAGAGAATGAAGTCAAATTGGTGAAATTCGAGCCAGTGGATCAAGACTCGAGAAATCAGCGAATCCAAGCAGTCCGTTGACAATAATCTGGTGACACAAACGCTGAGTGATCAACAAGTACAAGATGCATGGAACGGTGCCGTTGACTAGAAATGAACAAGTCGACGAAAACTTGATGTATGCTACAAAGAATAAGGCAAGCATGTATCGATATACAGCAAAGTACATGATTAACCACAGGGTCTACGCAAGGGATCAAAGAATCTCAAGTCCAGGTGGTAAGTCTCCATGAAAAAAAATGACGAAAAAGACCGAAAAGAAGAGAAATATCATGGCGATTGAACCGAAATGGCAACTGAATAGAAACGAACGACTGCAAACCTGACCAAAAAGTTAGAAACAGAAGATGAAAAACGGTAGCTACCGCAAGTAGAGCAGCTGGGAATATGACATTTTTTAATAGTATGGAAATCCGACAAGAAAAAGGCCCCAGTGACCATCAAGAATGAATGAACGGGAAGCGACCAAATCACGTCTCATAGACTCAGCTGCATCAGTGGATACTGAGGTGCATAGGTTTCTAGGTGCACTGGATAGCGGGCGCTGAAATTTACTCTAAGCCCAACAAGCTAATAGAAATCGACGGCTGTTACCCATAGTGAGTAGCCATAAAAGAAGAACATACTAAAAATTTACGATGTGACCATAACCATAACCAAACGCAAGTACTATCAGCGCTCACGTAAGTAACGAGCTGAAAAACAAGCATAGACGTTTTGGCTAAATTTTGATCCAAATGAAGAAAAATAGGATCCAAAGTGGCGACACAGTAACCATTTCACAAGATATGAAAGAAATCAGCGATAAGCTAACAATGTCTCTAAGTGGATTCCTATTTTAATCAACGACTAACGCCGAGAACGAAAAGTGTAAAAAGTAGTAAACCGGAATTCCCATAGGGATCAACCGTGCTGGTGACAGATGCCGGAGTCATATACAACAACGAGCATCCAATTTTCATGACTGAAATAACACGTGACCGACCACAACGGCTAAGACGCAAGGGGAACAAATAGTACAGAACCGATAGGTACAACCGCAGGGCCTCTAGCTACCTGACAAACGACAAAGGACGAAACAGAAGAAGCATTCTGCTGAAAAGTACACAAGTTTTCCAGCCAAAATGTTAAATTACTCTATTAGCTCCGTCCTATAACTCCCCTGCCCAACGATGGAGATGAAAAATTGTTAACTCAAAGAATTTTCTGTATATCTTAATGTTCGAAAGTAAAAATAGGATGTGTATTGGTCGGGATATGCTCCTACTTTAACATCCCTGCTTCGCACTGGAGCACCAAATGATCCAGCCGACTTTGAAACTTACGTGACTTCTTGTTGACCACCTCCTTGTCCAGGTTGTTGACCGGGAGTCTGAGAGCCATCCCAATTTGAAACCGGACCACCTTCATCCCCCAAAGTTCTGGACGATGCAAACTGCCCTTTCTTACGTTGCATCCTACATCACCCGGAAATTGAAGCTGAGAAGTCAGCTTATCACCAGTTATCAATTTTAGTACGCATCGCTATTTGCCTCCTACAGCCAGCTAAACATCCACCCTGCTCCCTGGCTGGACAATATGCGTAATCGAATTTCCGAAAGCAAACGGCCTCCTGAGAATACCTCAATCTAGCGGCCTGGATGGACGGAGTAGAAAAAAATTCCCCAATAAACTGTACAATTCATAAGTGACTAGACTGACTGGAGGGTTGCTTCTGGTAACAGAACCCCTTAACAACCATGAGGGGTTGCAGTCTGGTTTTCAACACCAACCATACAAATTTGACTTAAACTCGAAACTATTCAAAAAGCTGAAAGCAAGCTATATCCGAGTCAATCTAGCAACAACGAATGCGATACACTACTTTTCAGCACTGATAACAAGCCACACCTTTGCGCAACCTCTTTCCGAACAGTGTATCGAATTTTTTTGTCGTAGCAGCGCTCCTTCCGCTTCTCCCGAAATCTGGTTAAAGAAGCAAGCCTTTGCGGCATATTCATGCGGGCTGGAAGTTCTGATACTCCCTGTTCATTCACATACGACGAGACTTGAAAACGTAAACGGATGCAAAGAAGATTGAGTTAACAATCAGTAACTTCTTTCTACTTGAGCAATTATCAAACTCTGCTCCGATCCAAACTAGACTACAATTTCTTGAAAATTACATCCAATAAGCAATATAGGCATAGTCAACCACATGGACTCGGCATGGTTTAAAAGGTAGTAAACCCATTTGAAGGACGGACGCAACTACGTCTAGGTGGTACGTCTCAAGGTGCCAACAAAATTTAGAGCATGGAAAGCAGCAAAGAGACAATAACAGAAAAGCTGAGAAATTCCAAGCATGAAGTAAATAGCGAGAAAATGAAACACATATGAAGGTGGAAGAAAGAAGGAGAAGAAGAACGGTAAAACAAGGAAGCCAATGCGAGCAGACCAACTGTCAAAGTTATCGGTGGTGGGAGAAGTAAGTGGGCAGTAAGGACCCTGTACGCCGCAAGAAAGGCCTCCTTCCAGTGACCGTCAATCAAAAATTAACAGCAAACGCCCCATTCCCGTCATAAAGACTCGGCTGCTCCACCACTGCACACCGATGTGCAAAGGTCTCTGCACTGGACCGCACGGGGGCTCAAAACCACTCAAATTCCAAGCCAAGGAGAAATTGATTACTGATGCTCACACCTATGTCAAATGTGGCCTAGCAACATCGAAACCTAAAAGTATGAGATGCTAGATCGCCACAAGACACTAAAAATAGAATAAAATAACAACTCGGGACGTATTATTCGAGAGAAATAACCTTGTAGGAATAATAAGTAAAAAGGTATGAAGCAAAAGCTTACTGCAAGTCCACAATTCATAGCATTCAGAAAGAAACCCGAAAGCAAAGTTACAAGCACACACAGGGGGGAAAAGCAAATCGATGAGTCCGTGTAGCACGATGAATGAATATGTTACAAATTACAGATATCATCAGATTACAGACATTGTAGATATGAAAGAAACGAACCCCGCATTAAAAGGGAAAGTGATATTAGATACAGTGGACTTTATCTGAAAGTATGTGAGGAGACTGGCCAGATCATTGGCTAGGACCAGTTGTAAAAGCGAATGTTTCCAACAAACTCCTTGATTCCTAAAATGACTATATCTCCACCAATCCGTTCACACTAAGAAATCTGCAGAAGAACAGAAAAATTATTTCTTGCCTAGAAACTAAGAACTTGCTGTAGTGGGAGCAAATGTGTGCGTAGAATGACAGCAAGATCGTCCAATCATTCAATATAAGTGGCGGAGCTATGACAGAAATCAACGTGTGCCGATACAGTACGGTTCCAATTGTAATTGCAAGTTACTGACAAAAATATTGCTTCGAGAATAGACAGGCAACCTACTTAAGTGCAGCCTAGAGAAAAATCCGATGCCGATATCTCTAGCTAAGCAGACGCCGAACAGGTCCAGAAAACAATGCAGGGGCGACGAGATTCAGAATGAAAGCACTGTGGAACTAAAGAGAAGTATTAGCAGGTACCACGAAGGTACCCAGGAAGGAATGTGCAGGCTTGGATTCAATACAGAGACTTGTCAACGTGGAAAGTGAGCGTGTATAAAGTCGCTCCCGCTACATCCAAGAGTTGACAAAATCGTAGGCGTTTAACTGAAAGGGATCCGGAGAGAACCGACTAAGGGAAGAGGCAACGTAGATCTATCAACACTAAATACACACAACACACAACTGTGTTCAAAGAAGAAAGCAAGCGTGCCTCAATCGGCTCCCACTATTTCCAAGACTTCATTCAGTACAACTGATTGTAAATACAAGGCATGAGAGCTGCTATACAGATGAAACTAAAAGAACGGAAAATTGCTAGCGCCGAGGTGAAGGAAAAAAAATGATGAGAGAAGATGAGTCATAGGCGGTAAATCAAACTAAGCAAGACTGACGTGCAACGGCAACCCCATTAAGGTGAAATAGCATGTTGACTATGAATTAATTCATTTTCCTACAGTGAAATTCAATTAAGAAATTCTAAAAGTAAAATTACTGTCTCAAGTCCTAAAAATGAATCAAAAAACTTTAAACTATCTACCATCAACGCATAAGTTTAAACAGCATGGTGTAAGTACAAGAATATGGGGAACCTCGTGTCTCGCCAGTGAAATTTGGCAAGGAAAATAGAGTTCGTGGCCTGTTGAGGAAAAGTCGATGTGATGTGTCTGAAAACGTTAAACTTGAAATTGTACTGAACAAGTATGCCCATATAACCTGTCTAACGAGACACGGATATCAAATCCACACCGTGTCAAGAAGGTAAAATGGCACCTTGTTCGTATGATGATGACCTGAAACGTTGACTCCAGACATTCCTGGTGGGATCTCGCGGCCTCCTAAAAGAAGAAGAACGGCTTGCACCTACAGAAAAACACTCTGCATACAATTGAGGACATACATAGAGGTAATATGGTACGACGGCAAGCATCTTCAGCAATTTGTAAGAAGAGCAAGAACTTTCAACCAAAGAAGAAAAAAATATGCTCGTCGCCTGTTATAGATCGGAGACTTGGAGCTTGAGGCCAACGTGACCTATTCGTGGTCGCGTCCTTAAATTCACCAACCATATTGAACCAAAGTGCAAAAAGAACGATTTCTGGAATCTTAACCAACAATATATATAAACACTACAATCAGGGTAATCATACAAGCGATTTCAACACTGATAAACTAGTCTGTAAAATACAGGGCAAAGTTCAACGAGGATTTGTCGTGAACAGCGGTCTCCTGATGTGAGCAGATCGTTCTACGTAGTGGACAAGCTCTAGGGACATTTTGCTTTATAATAAATTTTAACTTACTTTCTCTGGAGGGACGGTGTCAAAAACATAAACTTCTCCCTGATAGGACAAAGTCAACTGAGTCGTCCCTTGATTTCTTACAGCAAGTTGATTTGGCGCATCACCTGGGTGTGCCCCATCCGAATGCATTTCCGCTTCATCCAATCCTTCCTCATCCCCGGGGTCATCGTCCTGATCGTCAACTCCAACCCCATTCTCTTCACTGTGTTGTAAGCCATGACCGTGTCCATGATGCCCATGAACGTGTCCGTGATGTACGAGCTCCGCATTTTCATGGGCTTGTGATTCGACTTGAGCCTGGACCTCTGATTCGGCTTGATTTGGCTGCTGAACGTGATGCAACTCATGTGCCTGGGCATGATGGGCATGCGAATGGCTCATAGACAAGCCATGAGGATGCCCTACTAGAGTATGGGAATGCAAGCCATGGTGACCATGGAGAGCTTGAGCTATATGATCTGCGTCTGACATCACTCACTTTACTCCTCACGTTCCCTGGTTTCTCATCAGCCGTTTGAAAGGCTCAAAATGGGGTCATGACTGCCAACAGATTCCGTTCGTCATTGAGCCTCCGAGCGCCCCACACAACGTTCCGGGCATCCACCTCCAAAATTTATCGCAGTGCACTACAGTCTAGGATTATCTTACTACTCATATAACCAAGTGTACTCGACAGCTAGCCTGGAACACATCCAACCAAAAAGTCAGGAATGCCCGACTCAAGACAATGATTGGAGGTTGATATAAGCAACCACATCAGTAAATAAGGCAGTCAAAATCACTACCGTTTGACCCAAAAGGATGCAAGAATATGTGGAAAAACAAACCATGGCACAAACACAAACTTTTAGCACAGGCAATTTAAATAACACGTGATGCAACATACGGGCTTGACACGCAAGGAGACAGAGGAGCACGGACCCAGGAGCTACAACAGAAGGGACTCTATCGAACGCTTAACTCGATGCAGAGCAACAGTGAGGCAATAAAGAACAGGCACAAAACATAGCGTAGTATCCAGGTAAAATATTGATAGAATCGACGGACAGGCATTCATAGAGCATGCAGAACAGATTCCTCCAGGTGAGTTGCGAAAAAGGGAAGCAAGCAGCAGTCACGGGATGAAATGCGTATAAGAGGCAGAGAATAAAAAAAGGTTAGAACGAGTGCTAACGCCAAACAGGGGCAGAAAAATATACTGGAAATACGAGATTTAAAATTCACAGAATGTGAATGAAAGTCCGATTTAATCCGCAACCTGGCTGTTCATGAGGGTGCAGAAACAATAGGGCGAAAGGATTCCAGCTGTACGGCTTCCAAGCTCGCTAATTATATACTACGTAGACGTGATATACACATGATCAACAAGTTGACAAACACACAGATCGACCTCTCAGTCTAACGACTAGAATGAAATAAAGGCGGAGTCATAACATGAGAGAGAGTAAATCGTCAGCAGGGACGAATGTGATTAGTTATTCGACAATGCTGAACTGTGGCTGCATGTTGATGACAATAATCAATCCCAAAAACTTCAGTTAAAGAGGAAAATTCCTACTGTAAACAAATTATCTTCACCTTTAAAAAGCACTCCCTCCTCCAAACTACTGATACTTCTTCTTAGTTGAAAGATACATTACTACACGCAATCAGCTTCGTTTCATCAGCGCCCTAAGGAATGCGTCGAAGTGGATAAATAAATGGAACAGTGCCCTCGTCATGACATTCTGTTCTAGTGTAGAGCATCCACGACAAACTAGGACCAGTTAAAAAAATGCAATGTGTCGACCATGCAGTATCTAAAGATGCATAAAGGAGGCTTCAGACATGCGCATCAGGTGACACATTCCTCGGCAAGCAACATGACGCACAAGAAAATTTGCCTCATTGAAACCGGACTTAGGATACAAAATTCTTTCCATAAGTATTTTGTGAATGATAAGTAATAGAACATGCATATGAACCCAAGTGGAAGAACATGGAAAAATATGACGTGCAGAAGGACGGTCGACGTGTATGAGGAAGTAAGCAAAAGATAGTTTCTCAAATCCTGTATCAATCCAGAGCTACATACAGCTCTGATAAGCCTCTGGACAGGGAGCATTTACAAGACTAAGAGCAGGAGCAACAACCCACCACCAAACCTTACGACACAGATGTAGCACTGTGCACGCAGAAAAAAACCTAGTATCACGAGTACGACTATATCGGCTTCTAACGCAAAGCTATAGTGCAAAATTGAAACATGCCTCTTCATATCAACTGATGTCTGTGGCTAATGTGCTGACAGTGTTGTGCTCTCTCAGTACAGAGAGAACATGCGAACAGAAACTCAGCACCAGACAATCCTCACAAATTTGCCACCGTGGGTCAAGAGTGCATGAGGTAACCTGTCACCTCATATTGCTCTTTGTAATATCGGTGTAATCCATACCTAATCCCTACCTATTCGAAAGTGAACAGGAAGCAAATACGATGCCTGTAAGGTAGCTCATCGGCTCGACTTCTTCCGGATATGGTCTCTGTCAGGGAGGTGCGAAATCCGTCACGGCGTCTCCTCCCCCGATGACTGATTACTACTCTTTTCTTGCAGATTCACACGCATCCAGAAGGTGGGTTTGCACCTCCCTAAGTTTCGTACAACTTCTCGGACCCATGTTCTAGACAACGTACCTGGCCTCTACTACGCCGAAGGTGATTTCGAACAATCTTCTGATATAACTCCCAAAAAGCAGTAGATGAGATTGCCCTCTCCACTTAAACTTTGCTATCGCATCCTTTCGACCCATCCTTTTACCGAGCTCAGCTTTTCGTGGCGTTATTAAGGTGTCCTCAAACACCATAGAAAACGCCTTAGAAAAAACAGCTACTCAATTTTCTATCCCTCCACTTGGTAATTGCAAACCAAAACAGAAGCACCGTTCACTAATATCGGGTTAATGACGAGCAGGATAATGATTCACCTCTCGAAGTCATGCGAACAATGATTGTGTGGACTTCACCAACTTATCCTGAGAAGGCCTTTCCGAAAGGCCTTGATGATGAAGTCTTCCCACAACCAGATTCTAGGAGTTCTGGATCACGCATGTGTAGGAACTAATCTTCGAAGGTGGACCTTCGCCCCACCTCCAGTTCGTGTAAAGATTTGATTTTCACTAGGTTGAAGTAGCAGCCATCACGGCCGAGGTACGCAAGAGGGAGGACGAATGCAGTTCTATCCCAAAACACTGCAGAGTGAAAAAATCTAATGCTTAATGCGAATACATCAATATGGACTGATCTCACAATTGCGCAAAGAGTCCAAGAACCTTCAAAAACAGCTAAGTGGTAGGCACCGCCGAGCCAGCGATAACCAATAAATCAGATGTCCATCTCCAGAACTACCCATTGACTTCACAGACAACACTTCGACTCAAATCAAAAACTTCCATGGTTCCTCGAGCCTCGGTTTTCATCAACTCCATCCGAAATCGGCAGCAGACATAATATGCGGACTTGCATACAAACAAAAACAGAAACGGGGATATCTGAACGGCTACTTACAAATTCGACAGACGCTTAGCTAGAAGAAATGAACAAATAATCTTGAACAATGCACTGTGGAACAAAAAGAAAATTTTCGGAATTCGATACAACAAGTAGGGTAGGGGCACCACTAAAAATGCCAACAACGTCTTCTTCCAAATTGTCGAAACTGTCCATTTACCATTTACCATTTACCATTTACCATTCAAACAAGGCTTTGCATCACTGCCCTTACGAAAGTTGTGTGGAAGTAATCTTCTTCTGTTCACGACGAAGTGTGGTACAAAACGTAGAAAGCGAGCGCCGATTACAGTGTCAAAACTTCACGAAGCAAAGCAATTACCTCAAAGTTGGTAGGTAATTAGACGTACATGTCTTACATAAATTTTGAAGCTCTTAAACTCAATAGTGAACAACAGGCATGCATTTCCAGCTGTGGCTGGTGAATTTCATATCTACGCTATGACAGGATGAAACACCTTACAGTTGGAAATGATATAGTTGTAACGAACACGACGCCTCGCCATCAATTGCATCTTAACAACAGACTCCACCAGGGCTCGAATACGCCATTCCCACATCCCTGCGTTCTGCCACTCTTCATCTAACAGCTTCCCACTTGTCGCCAACGCGGATATAAAACAACGTTATGTTGAGCCTTAACCACTGAAACGACGGCTGTCTGTAGTGAAATTCTACCTGTGTTTGAAAACCCTTACAAAGAATTCGACGTACACAGCCAAATCGTTTGAAATGATTCTCCGAGACTAAGCGTGGCGAAATTGTCAAATAGAAAGATCAACACGCTCGTAACCTGGGTTGGTGAATGCTGCGAGGGTTTCAGCTCGCGTGAATGGGGGAGAAGCTTCAGACGAGCGTAGTTGTATACTCGATAATCTGGGCCTGACGAACAGAGAGCAGAGGGAGGGACCAGAACCTCAAGAATCCAACTGTGCCCTGTGACACGCTTGTCTTCTATTCCTACCTCAAGTAAACTCCTTTGCACTAAGAAAAAGGATGAAACCTAACATTCCCACCAGAGGATAGAGGTTCCGTTTATAGTGCGAACTCACTAATGCCAGTCACGGTGCTCTTCGAGCCAATACGTAAATCCCGTGCAAACCGACGGTAAAACAATAGTACCAAACCAAGGATTATAAATCCCAGACCATGACTGCAATTGTAACTGCAACCGGAGGTACTACTAAACCTTCTCGTATAACGCGATGCTAATGTCATCCAGAAAATAGTACCAAGTAACTGCAGAAGATGTACGAACCCCGTTGTCTGAAGTACCTGAGTATCTTCAGAGGATGATGAACGTTTTGTAATTGTTCTAAGATTGAGTTTTGATTAGTGTAGTCTCTTAGGTGAAGAATATGACTTGCTTATCATACGAATATCTCCCGCAGGCTTCGAGAGACTACGGTAGCAGTCGGAAGGAGAAGTGTCATATATGTGGTGGATTAATCCCAAACATACAATAGAGCAATGAATTCACAATTGTTGTAGTCATATTGAAACTTCAAGCCAATTCAAAATTATCGTTTGAGTTAGATTGAAATTGGCTGTTGGAGTGTGTGTACCCTTGTGTGACAAATTTTGGCTTGTATCGTGAAGTTGGAAGTTTCACTAAGTACAAAGACCCATTCCAAGAGATGAGAGATAACCCGTTTAAAATGAAATCGTAGATTCCTGGAATGAAAGAGCGAATGAAAGAAATCTATAACGATCATACAAATACTAACACATTGACCAGAGAAAAATAAAAAACTTGTCTACTTATTTTCATCTCTAATTTCAGATACAACCAAATTAGCACGATTTGTGAGCCAAATTAAAATTCTAACTAAAGCCAGTGAAAAAAAAAATCTCAATCAAGCTTGCCAAACTATGTAAGTTAATGCAACCAATATCATTTATTTTTTATTTTTTATGAGAAAGGCATAAATATATTTAGAATCAACTCAAATCGTGATTAAGTGTAGTAAAATTGATTATGATTACACATACTATAGTGTTATGATATTAAAGATTGGAAAAGAATATCATTCAAAAGATGGCGTTCAAATTATGAAGAATAGTCATGTGATATCATTATAATTTCTCTGGTATAGATATTTTTGCTAAGTATAAAGATTCAAGACTTCATAATTATAATTTATTTTATTTTTTCTGGATTGATGGCATGGCAACCATCACTACTAAGCATGCAAATTGTTGACAAAACACTGTAAACTAACACACATGTTTCAATACATTCATTCCTTACATACCAAACACAAAAAATGTTTATAAACACTTTAACCTAACACACATTGTTTCAATACATTAATTCCTTATCTAACAAACACAACAAATTTTCTAAAGTTGCAACTTTAAAACAAGAGTTTAGGGTTGGTATATACTTTAAGGTCTCTATCTACTAAGAAAATGAATTGTTGACATGAAAATGAAGAGTAGTCAAATGAAATTCACGTATGTTTTTTTGAAATCTTAATCAACAAATAAATTTTAGAAATTACATTACTTCAAAATGCAACGTAACTCTTGCACATATGTTAAAAGTATAAAAAATTTAATGGCTAGATATTTCTCTATTTATTTTAATCAAATATAATGATATATTTGGCACTATTTATTATTCATATCTTTTTACTAGATATTTTTTTCTCAAAATTTTGATAATGATCTAATGAATGACTAGAATGATTGAAATTCAATGAGTTTTAAAATTTGTGTGACTGTTGTACATATAATCGCAATTTGAAAATATGGATTATATGATGTCTATGTATATGTTGTAGGTTTGATCCAAGAAAAAACACACACCAATGTACGTGGTTGATCTCCACATGAGGCTACATTTACGGCCAAGATAAAAGCTTCATTAAAACTACAATGATACATCTGATGATAAACTGCCACACTCTTGATTTTCCTCTCTCCATCAAGTGTACATGTGAGACAAAACTGAAAAATGATCATATTATGACTAAGTAATCCAAACAAAACCTAACCCTTATTAATCCAAACAAACTTAAATTCTAACTAGGTCAAAGAAGTTTGAATCCTAACTAGAGTCCAAGCCTACATACGGTTAGACAAATAACAATATGCGGATTAATCTTACAAACTTTTCCTGAAATCAAGTCTTGAAGGAGACCGTCTTTATCGTCCATATATGGTTTTAGCAAGAAGTTCTAGAAGTTAAAACTAAACCATAGCTTGTTCCCTATGAACAAGAATTAACTAAAGCTAAGCCATAGTTAACAACATGTTAGACTAAACCTACATACATAAAAAATATTATGTAATCTAATTCATCAATGAATAACTTGCAAAGCTTCACAATGTCTTGAAAATTATCAAAAGAAATCACCCTGGTAAAATCATGAGCCGGGTTAAGCTCTTCATCAATCTTGATGAGCTTAAGCGCGTTTACCTAATAAAATGGCATCTAATGTCAATATGCTTTATCCTACTATCCATCAAATGATTTTCACCAACCAAAAACACATTCTAACTATCACAATGAAAATTAACGTCTTGCTATGACAATTCCATCTAAGTGATGAGCTTGTTGAACCAAATTGCTTTCTTTGTTGCATCTACTGCTGCAACATATTCAACGTTCATGGATGACAAAGAGATGCACTTTTGAAGAGTAGATCTCTAATTAATGCAACCACTCGAAGAAGTAAAAGCATACTTAGTCGTTGATTTCCTCTTGTCCAAGTCTCCTCAATGATCAACATCCACATATTTTAAAAGAAGACTTAACATTCATTGCTTTGGCATCAAACAATAAATCATGTTGTGTTAATCTACCTAAGTATCCATTTCACTACTTTCCAATGCATCTTGCTTGGTATTGACATGTACTTTGTCATTTTACATACAGTGAATGATGTTTCTAATTATGTGCATATCATTAAATACATAAGTCTAATCATTGCAGTATCATAGTTTTAGAAGACATCAAATCTTTCTCAACCGCATCCGTAGGACATTGCGTTGTTGAAAGTAATGAATGAGCAGTGAATGAAATATTCACAAGTGTTAGCTCAATTATGTGCTCACATTTGAAGTTAGTACTAGGTAGTAAGAATTGTTTGAAATACAGGAGTATAAAAGATTAGAACATTTAAATAGAAAAGAATAATAAAAATATAATGCTAGTAAGATTTAGTAAAGGTTAGATACAAGAGTGGGAGTGGAGCAACTTACGGAGACAAAAGACGAAAGCTTGACAGGTAGAAGGAGGAGATAGACTGTAGCAGCTCGCTCGCACATGACCATGTTTCGAGAAAATGTTGCCTTTGGGACAACAACTCACAACTCTCATCATGATGAATAGACAGGATGAGGAAGACAGGCATGCAAAACAAATAGACAAGCAAGATCAGTGTAGGACCAAAAACAGAACAAATATCGTTGGTATTGGAGTACTTGACTGCGGCAGATGATCATTTTGCTTCATCCTTTTGACAGATTATAGACATGGTGTGGTGTAGAGGAGTGTAGTTGCAATGCAGTCATTGCAATGTTGGAGAGAAGGAGAAGCTTTAGCGCAAGAGGTAGGTAGATTGCCACTGAAGGAGCAAGATTTAAAGGAAAATGTTGTTTTGAGGTCGGGTGGACGAGGGCTGCTGCGTGGAGCCGGAGCAAACCAAGTGCAAGTAAGCGGGAGGAATTTGGTGGTTTTCTTTTTGCTATGTGGAGTAAAAGGAACATGGCGAGACTATAAGGAGAGGCGCTACGCATTTTGTGGGTCCTCCAAGCGGCGAAAGTTGAAGTGCTTGACCAAAGACCTTCTCTAGCTCACTGACCTTCCCATGTCGACAACTAAGCCTCTTCATTGCAAGCAAAGGCTGAACGATCTTTTCTCATAGTGGCTTTTCTGTTCCCAATTTCTAGTGTTTGATGTTATTGACGTTAGATGATGTCAAAGCGGGAGTAGTTTTGTCGGTTTTTTGAGGTCCTAGCAATGGAAGCATAGAAGTCTCCGCATCATTGCTACCATTAATGTATCATGCACGATATACTCCACCAATGTCACATAGAAGTACGACAAGCTCCCCTCTATTTCTAGAATCATTCATGAAGCAAACTGGATCTGAACCAACGGCTACATGATATCCATTGAAGAAGACAAGTGAACATGTGAAAAAATTATTCTGCAATTCTACTTCCCTCATGGTACTTGAGCTTCAAAACAACTCAAAGAGGAGTGCTTAACAAAAATCGACAAACTTAGGTCGTAAGAAGAACTGCTTATGCGTTACATAAGTATGAGCAAATGAACAAGTGGCTGACTTGTTCCGGAAGGTATTGAAAACTATGCATTACATGAGTATTAACAAGCGGCTGACTTGTTACAAGAAGCATTGAAGACCAGCTAAGAGAATTGGGCGGTCTTTGTTTCACATTTGAATGCTTCTCTGGAAGGACTTGAAGTCAAGGCAACAGGTGAATTTGCAAGTCTTCTTGAGGAACACAAGCCCCAATGCTTCTCTTTACCACCTTTTAAAGATATTGTGTTCTTGTTCGTGATCATCGCCTTAGACTATCTCTATTACGGTTGGTTTGTGTGGTGCTTAGTTTTTTCAATTTTTGCATAAACAACAAAAACTTAAACATATTTGTGGTAGATCGTATACATATAAGTCCTTAGGCATAGGAGTTAGAAGATTTAATGGAAATTAGTTAGTTAGAAGAAGACCTTCGAACCATCGGCACAGCCAATTTTTGACGATGGAATAACCGAGCCTTCGGTGAAAACGACGAGTCACAATTTGAATTCGCCAAGGGCCAATCAAGAACTTCACGAGCTAGGAGTGCCAATTTGCGTGCGTGTGGGAGCCGTTATGGCGTCGAGGGTAAGGGCACAAAGCGGATTCATTTGCGCCGACATTTTGACATTGAGAGAGAAAAAAATTTGCAATCGATTGACTTTGACAGCTGTGAGCCTAAACTCCCCACCCTTCAGCGTTTGTAGTCCAGGTGGGGGTTCGAGCTCCCAT